GCACTCCCCACCAAACCCTCACCCTTCAAACCCTCTCTCCACCAAACCGTCTCCCCCCAAACCTTCACCCTCCAAACCCTCTCCCACCAAACCCTCTTCCCCCACCAAACCCTCTACACCAAACCCTCACCCCCCAAACTGTATTCCCCCCAAACCCTCACCCTCCCAAACCCTCTCCCCACAAACCCTCTCCCCCCAAACCTTCAACCCCCCAAACCTTCAACCCCCCAAACACTCTCCCCACCAAACCCTCTCCCCAACTCTCTCCCCCCAACTCTCTCCCCCCAACCCTCACCCTCATCCCTCACCCCACAAACCCTCTCCCCCCTCAAACCTTCACCCCACAAACGCACTCCCTCCCAAACCCTCTCCCCACAAACCCTCTCCCAACCCAAACCCTCTCCCACCAACTCTCTCCCCCCCAAACCCTCTCCCCACAAACCCTCTCCCCACAAACCCTCTCCCCACAAACCCTCTCCCCACAAACCCTCTCCCCACAAACCCTCACCCCTCAAACCCTCTCTCCACCAAAACGTCTCCCCCCAAACCTTCACCCCACAAACGCACTCCCCACCAAACCCTCACCCCTCAAACCCTCTCCCCCCAAACCTTCTCCCCCAAACCCTCTCCCCCCTCTGTCACTCACCGGCTGCTGGGGCTCCGGTTGCTAAGGCTCCGGTTGCTAAGCGGCCGCGGCCAAACACGTGCGCTCCTGACGTCACATCGTTCCCATCGTCAGGGACGTTCCTCGCGCCTCCTCCCGCCGCCCCGTCCCCAACATCTGCCCCGTGACGTGCGCCGCGCGGGAGCAGCTTCCGGGAACGGCGTCTTCCGTCATCGCGCACAGAACACAGTAACGTGAGTCCCCCACAACAAGAGGGGACAGAGGGGTGTGGGGGGACAGAGGGGTGGGGGGAGGGGGGGACAGAGGGGTGTGGGTGGGGGACAGGGTGGGGGAGGGGGGACAGAGGGGTGTGGTGGGGGACCAGGGTGGGGGAGGGGGGACAGAGGGTGGGGGACCAGGGGTGGGGGGACAGAGGGGGGGGGGGGGCAGAGGGTGGGGGGACAGAGGGGTGTGAGGGAGAAATAGAGGAAACTAAAATTTTGCCCCTCTCAGGAATCGAACGTAGGTTGCGAGGCGTTTCCGCTCACCGTGGAATCCTGTCGCTCAGTGGTTAGAGCACTCGCTTTGCAAGTGAGAGACCTGAGTTCGATTCCAGGCAGAGGGCGAAACCTCGGGCAAGTTTCCTTACTCCACACAGAGCCTAATAATCCCTCAAAATATAAATGTAAATATCCACGACTGTTTGTGGGACATTGCAGTGCGCAATTGGCTGCCACGTTTCGCCCACAAATATACAGTCAATTCACTTTACAGTATATTCTGTGAAGCACTTTGAGTCATCTCGGAAAGACGTGAAAAGCGTTATATCAAATCCAAGGATTATTATTATAACCGCTAGGCTACAGGAACTGTGTTCCTTTGACGGACATTGCAGTTTTGTTCCAGTTATAGGCAGCTGGCAGACACAGCTGAATCCCAGCAACGCCACCGCTTGGTTTCAGGCTCTACAATTGGAAAGATTTGCTTCCAGAGGAGAGGTGGCGTGTGGGAGCTGAGAGCGAAAGCCGTCTCTTATTAGTGAAAACACAGGCCCAGGACAGGTAATCTTCAGCTGCTTGGCAACTCATTGCATAAATCTTAAGCAATTAGGAAGGCTAATGGCATGTTGGCGTTTATTGCAAAGGGGTTAAGAGTAGGGAAGTCTTACTGCAATTATTTTGGGCCTCGGTGAGACTGCACCTAGAATATTGTGTGCACTTTTGGTCTCCTTATCTAAGAAAGGATTCACTCACCTTAGATAAATTATCACTTAGATTAGTGCAGCGTAGATTCACGAGGTTGGTTCCTGGGATGAGGGGGTTGACCTGTGAGGAGAGGTTGAGTAGACTAGGCCTATATTCTCTAGAATATAGAAGAATTAGAGGTGATCTTACACAAATCTATAGGATTCTTAAGGGTCTTGACAGGGTAGATAGTGTGAGACTGTTTCCCCTGGTTGGAGAATCTAAAACTAGGGTCATAGTCTCGGGATTAAAGGTCATCTTTTTAGCACTGAGTTGAGAAAACATTTCTTCACTCAGAGGGTAGTGAATTTTAGGAATTCTCTACCTCAGAGGCTGTGGATGCTCAAATCATTGAACATATTCAAGACTGAGATCAATAGATTTTTAAAAACTAAAGGGATTAAGGGATATGGGGATAGGGCGGGTAAATGAGATTACAACAAAATAACAACAACATTTATAGAGCGCCTTTCATTTCGGTCAGAAGATAGGCTAGACGATCAGCCATGATCTTATTAAATGGCGGATCAGGCTTGAGGGGCCGAATGGTCCTATTTCTTACCTTGAATGTTGCCTGAGGAACTCATCACCCAGTTCTTGCCAGGCTCCGCTAACTCCCTATCACAGAATGATTTCACGATCCTCTCACTCATCTATAAATCCCTTCATGCTGTGGCACCTGCCTACCTCTTTGACCTGCTTACTCCCCACTCCACCACCTGCTGCCTCCGCTCGGCTGGCTCCAGCCTCCTGCTTGTCCCCTCCGCATCACCATCAGTGGTCACGCTTTCAGCCATTACGCTCTGGAACTCTCCTCAATCCACCCCTTCCCCTCTTCGATCACGCAAAGAGCTTCCGCTTTGACTGTGGTCACGGTCACCTCCTCCCGGGTCGACGTCAAGCTCCACCAATGTTAAGCGCTCAAGGCGCTGCCCCATGTGAAGGGCTCTGTGTTGTTGTAGTTGTGTCTGCCTCACATCAGCACTTTGAACCCACAAATCATTCACAACATTAAATGTAAAGTGTAGTGACTGTATAATAATAATAATCCTTGCATTTGATATAGCGCTTTTCACGTCTTCTAGACATCCCAAAGCGCTTCACAGAACACACTGTAAAGTGAATTGACTGTATATTTGTGGGCGAACGCGGCAGCCAATTGCGCACAGCAATGTCCCACAAACAGTCGTGGATTGAAAATGACCAATTTATTATTGTTTTGGAGGGATTATTATTAAGCTCTGTGTGGAGTAAGGAAACTTGCCCGAGGTTTGGCCCTGACCTGCCGGGTATTGAACTCAGGTCTCTCACTTGCAAAGCGAGTGCTCTAACCACTGAGCCACAGGACTCCACTGTTTCGTGGGTGAACTCAGCAGCCAATTTGCACACAGCGGCGTTCCTACGCCAGCTCAGGTCCAAAACTCATCGTCCAATGTCTTGGGATGTCCTCCCGATGTTAAAGGTGCTGTATGAATACAATTTGTTGTTATTGGTGGTGATGGTGCTCAGTGCACTGCAGAAAAAAAATCGGGGTTTACAGGACTTTGTGGACACCCTGTACCCACTCTGCCTTTCCCCACTCTGCAACATTGCCCGACTCCTCAGGTCTCTGAAACCCTCATACAGACATTTGTCACCTCAGGGCTCAACTACATCAACTCTCTTCCTTGTTGGCCCTTGCAACCTCTTCCCTCCACAATCTATAGATGATCCAGAAAGTTGCAGCTCATGCCCTCTCCCCCATCGGGCTCCACCCCATCACCCCCACCCTCGCCCGGCTCCACTGGCTTCCCATCTCTCAGAGGATAGAATTCAAAATCCCCGTCCTCACTCTCAAGGCCCTCCACAGCTTTGCCCCCTCCTACCTTTCTGACTTGCTGTCCCCTTCATCAACTTGTCCTCTCCCTCTGGTCAGCGAGCTCCGGCTGCTCCAGTCTCCTGCCCGACCCGCCCTAACATTGGCGACCGGACTTTCAGCCTTTCTGCCCCCATTCTTTCGAACTCCATTCCACAATCCCTTTGCCTCGCTCCCTCTCATCTCCATCAAGGCAGGACTCAACACCTTCCTTTTCGACCATGCCTTCAGCCGCCCTCCTACTTCTCTTGCTCCCTCACCCCAACCCCAACCCCGCCCCCCCAGGCTTGGATACTGATCCCTGACTCTGCAGCACCTTGGGACATCCTCCCGATGTGAAAGGCGATTTACAAATGTAATTTTTATATATAAAATGTATCCAATGCAAGGATTATTGTTATTATTTGATGACTTTACTCCTTTCCAGGCCTGCCTGAGGCTTGCAATGTCGTCTCCAGAGATTGCTTCCCTCTCATGGGGTCACATGAAAGTCAAAGGCTCCCCCACGGCCTACAAAGACTGTAAGGTGTGGCCCGGAGGCAGCCGTCCCTGGGATTGGAGAGAGACGGGAACTGAAGTGAGTGGTCGCTAGTGTGGTCTGGGGGAGAGAGTGATCAATCGAGCAGGGGAAAGAGAGCATGGGGGAGAGAGGGGGAGAGAGAGAGAGAGCTGGGGGAGAAGAGAGAGCAATTGGGAAGAAGAGGAGACAGAGAGCGTTGGGAAACAGGGAGCAAGTGGGGGAGAAAGAGAGGGAGCAAGCGGGGGGAAGAGAGACAGAGAGTGAGCGGTGGTGGGGAGAGGGGAGAGACAGAAATGATAGAGAGACACAGAAGCTATTGATGTAGCCTGAACACTAGTTACAAAGGTTAGAAAACCCGTTGAGCCACTGTTTGTCTCCCTAAGAGAAACTCCCTTCCCTTTTCAAACAGCGTGGCAGGATCTTCAACATCCCCCTGTACAGGTTACAGATGGGGAGTGAGGTTTAGCGTCTCATCTGAAGGACGGCGTCTCTGACAATGCGGCTCTCTCCCACCCCCCAGCACTGGGCTGGAGGGTCAGTCTGGACTGCGAGCTCAGAGTCCCGACGTTGGGATTTGAACCGCACAACCTCCTGACTTAGAGGCGAGAGTGTGAGTGACAGAACCAGGCTGAGACTTTAGTTACTAAGCTCTTGGGAATGCTCTCCCCAAATCCCTTCACCTCATGTCTTCCCTGTCCAATTCAAAACCCTCTTGAAAATCCCAAGGCCCTCATACTCTCCCACCTCCCCTCCCTGCTCAGTGAGCCCCTTAGACGCTGCCCCGTGTGAGGTGTGCTTTGTACAAGTTATTGTACTCTTGTGTGTTGGCCTGGCTCAGGTACTTGCAATCTCGCCTCAGGAGGATAGGGCCCCCATGCTGGGGATATTTTGAGCTCATAGTCAAGACCGGGGGTGGGGGGGGTCTCCAACCGGTCGATCACCACTAAGTGGCGCTATCGAGCACGATTAAAAAGACCAGATGAAGGAGCGATAGGATTGAGTCAATATTTAGTCCAATTGAAAACAAAATAAAACATTTTATTGAGCATGTGTGAGATGCCACCTAGCGGAGATGGGCTAGCTGGAGACCCCTCATCCAGATTGCCATTCCAGCGCAGCACCGGGGCAATGAGCCCTGCATTGTCAGAGACACCTTCCTTTGGGTGAGATGTTAAATGCGGAGTCCTGTAGCGTAGAGGTTAGAGCACTTGCCTCGCAAGCGAGAGGAGCAGGATTTAATTCCAGGGGGGGTGAGACCTTAGGCAAATTTCCTTACTCCAGACACACACCTCTGTTTACCAGAGTAGGAACCTGATTGTTTGTTGATTGGCGGATCACTTTCCGGGAGTAATAAACCCTCCAAAAAATAATTTGTTCATTCAATCTATGACTGTTTGTGGGACACTGCTTGCGTAATTGACTTATTATTAATGCTGGAAGAAAACTACAGTGAATCGGGTCCATTGGGAGCCTTGTCTAATGGTCATTTGTGTTTCCTATTTAGCATCACCCAGGAGTGCAGCCGGCCGACATAGAGGAAATCATTAGCAAAAGCATTCAGACGCTGGTTATTGGCCGGGGTATGAGTGAGGCCTTGCAGGTTGGTTTTAGGCAGCAAGATTGGCTCAGTACCAAATGTGGAGCATATTTTAATGCACGTGTTCTGTAACCTTACAAATGCAAACACAAATCCAAATGGTTCACCATTTAGCTGCAGTGGAGTCCTGTAGCTCAGTGATTAGCACTCGCTTCACAAATGAGAGGTCCCGGATTTGATTCCACCCCTCTATTCCCCTCCCCTAGACCCCTCTCCCTCTTCCCCACACCCCTCTATTCCCATCTCCCATGCCCCTCTATTATGTGCCTTATGTTGGTGATCTGTTATGGTGACACTTTCTTCTCTTCCCTCAGGTTCCCTCCATCACGCTGGATTACATTAAGAGCAAGGGTGTAGATGTGAAGGTGCTTCAGACGGAGAAGGCTGTTCGGGAATATAATTCTCTGGCCAGTCAGGGAGCTCGGGTGGGGGGCATCTTTCACTCCACATGCTAAGGCACAATACAGTGGGAGTGCCCCAGACACCAAATTCCAGTCTTAGCCTGTGAGCCCATTAAACCGTGCGGAAAATTCGTAAATCCCGACAGAGTTCACCAGCATTTTCTTTAATAGAGAAAGAAACCGGCTTTCAATTGAAAGAGTGGAGTCCTGTAGCTCAGTGGTTAGAGCGCTTGCCTAGCCTGCAAGGGGACCTGGGTTCGATTCCAGGGCGGAACAGGGCGAGTTTCCTTACTCCACAAAAATGTGATCACTGAATCCACCAATGTTTGTGGGATACTGCTGTGCGCAATTGGCTTCCGCGTTGAGCTCACAAATAGTCACTCCACTTTACAATACATTCTGTGAATCTCTTTGAGACGTCTCAACATTGTGATAATGCGCTATATCAAATGCAAGGATTATTAGTATTAAATGCACAGTGATTTCGACAAAATCGCTGAGCTGTTTGGCCATATTTTAAGAATACAATAATTTGCATTTGATGCAACGCTACAAGGTCGAAAACAGCTGATCGTTGCAAGTGACTTTTTTGGGTGGTCAGCTGGGTGTCCTGAAACATGCGGAAACCCATCACCATGTTTAAGAATCTCCAAACCCAATTGAGAATTCCTTGAATCCCACCTACACATGGAAATCCAAGAGATAGATTTTGGAATGGAGTGCGCACTTTCTCCCTGTTTACCTAATTTTGGAGAGTATTTAGGCGCAGGTTGGCAAGAGCGAAGGCTTGGGGACCTCAGAGAGTGTGATGGGGTAACTGCTGGAGTCTAACCAGCTGAAACCGCATAGCTTGCCATTGAGAGCATTGCCTTGACTGTGTTTCTGTGTGCAAAGCGGCAGCTAATTTGGCACAGCAAGCAAGGTCCCACGAGGTGAATGAATTTTTTCTAAGGAGATTGTTGGCCAGGACAAACTCGGGAGAAACTCCCTTCTATTTTTGAATAGCATCGAGAGATCTTTAACATCTGCCTGGAATGGGCACAGTCCTTAAAAATTCAAGTTATTAATATTATTATAATTGCATTAGAAATAGAGGAAGCCAGATATCATTAATTGACATAAAGTTACACTGGCTTACACCAGTAAGTGGCAGCACCCTCAGTGGGTTCCTTTTCAAATCCTGTGGAGACATCCCTTTTAAGGGAACAAAAATCAACAACCACTGTAAACTGAAACAAAAATCCCCACGCCAAACACTTACTCCATAAACATTAACCCCTAAATACAGTTTCTCAAACACTCCCCCCTTCCCCCCACCCCACTCACCACACAAAATTATGGCAAACTTTAACAACATTTACTCGTCCTGAACCTAAAACACATGAAACACCGCACACCCCACCGCACCCGCCCTCCCCTTAGGTCCCAAGACGAAAAAATACAGCCCCCGCCTCCCACCCCCTCACTTATGCCTCTGGACCAAAAAACACAAAACCACCCCACCCCTTGCATCCTGAGCCAAAAAACACAAACCCCCATTCCCCCCCACCCCGCTCTTAAAGACCTGAGTGCAAAAGACACAAACCCCCACCTCCACTTATGTCCCGAACCCAAACAACATGAACCCCCTCCTGCATACGTTATGAGTTCAAAAAACACCAAACACCCCCTGCTCTATGTCCTGAGTACAAAAAACAGGAAACGTCCCCACTTACATCCCTGGACCATCCATCCCCCCCTCTACTCCTTGGACCCTATCGTTCCCTCATCCCTCACCACGACTGTCCGCACACTCAAACCTACCACCTCAATCCCATCCCCACCTCTCTCCTTGTCTCCCAGCTCCATCTTCTGGCTCCTCTCCTGTCTGATGTCATCAATCCTTGTCCACCGGTTCAGTTCCCACCCCCTAAAAAGAGCCGTCATCACCCCCATCCTGAAAAAAACCTTCCCTGGATCCATCTCTCCTCTCCAGCTCCTGCCCCATCTCTAACCTCCCATTCCTCTCCAAGGTCCTGGAACGAGTCGTCGTGTCCCAGCTCCGCTCCCTTCTCTCTCACCATTCCCTCTTTGAACCCCTCAATCCTTCAAAGTCACTAATGACATTCTGAACATCTGTCATCAGGGCTCCTCTGCCGCTTTGTCCTCCTCGACCTCTCTGCTGCCTTCGACACTGTCGACCACTCCATCCTCATACACCGCCTCTCCGCTTTACTCAACCTTCGCGGACCTGCCCTCGCCTGGTTCGATTCCTATCTCTCTCACCGTCTCCACTTTGTTGCCTCTAACGGTTTCTCCTCCAGCCCGCGCACTGTCACGTCTGGCGTCCCCCAGGGCTCTGTCCTTGTCTCCTCTTTAATATCTACACGCTCCCCCTCGGGGACATCATCCGCAGACATGGGGTCAACTTCCACATGTATGTTGACTCTCTCTTTCTGACCCTCAGCCCCAGGACCACTGCTGTCCTCTGTCTGTCTGCCCCACCCTCAGCCCCAGGACCACTGCTGTCCTGACAGACTGTCTGTCTGCCCCCACCCTCAGCCCCAGGACCACTGCTGTCCTGACAGACTGTCTGTCTGCCCCCACCCTCAGCCCCAGCCACTGCTGTCCTGACAGACTGTCGGACATCAAGTTCTGGATGAGAGCAAATTTCCTATAGTTGAATGTGAACAAGACTGAGGCCCTCCTGATTGTCTCCCCCCAGCGCCTCCGCACCTCAGGCTCTGGCAACATCAACCTCCATGGTTTCAGACTACAACTCACCGCCAGTCAGGAACCGAGGTGTCTTGTTCGACCCTCAACTGTCTTTTCTCCCCCACATCCAAGTCACGACCCACTCTGCCTTCCGTCATCTGTGTAACATCGCCCGACTCTGCCACTACCTCACCCCTCAGGCGCTGAAACTCTTGTTCATGCCTTCATCACCTCTAGACTCGACTATGCAAACACTCTGCGTTTCGGCCTTCCCAACGCCTCCCTCCACAGCTGCAGATAATCCAGAACTCTGGATCCGTGTCCTCTCACACACCAAACTCCGTGACCCCATCTCCCCCACTCTCGCCCGACTCCATTGGCTCCCTATCCTTCAGAGGATCCAGTTCAAGGTCCTGGTCCTCACATACAAAGCCCTCCATGGCCTCGCCCCACGCTACCTCTGCGACCTCCTAACCCCCTACCAACCGGCCCGCTCCCTCCACTCAGCCGGCTCCGGCTGCTCCACGTTCCCCGCCCCACCCGCCCCACCATTGGTGGGAGAGTCTTCAGCCACTCCGCCCCCAACCTCTGGAATTCCATCCCCCAGTCATTCCACTGCCCTTATGTCCCAAGCCCAAAAAATAGGAACCCCCTCCCACTTACATTATGAGCTAAAGAAAAACCCTCCCCCCACGCTTTATGTCCTGAGCTAAAAAACACATAACGTTGCCCCCTTACGTCCCAAGGCCAAAAAACACGGAATACGCCCCCTTATGGCCTGGTCCTAAAAACACGGAACACGAACCCCCCCCACCCCACTGCTGTCGTGAGCCCAAAAACATGAAATTACCCGCCCGCTCTTACATCCTGAAACCAAACAACACAAAGCACCACCCTATTTATGCCTGAGACCTGAAAACATGAAACGTCCCCCCTTACATCCCTGGATCAAAATTCACGAAGCCCCCCACCACACCCACCCCCCACCATGACCCAAAAAACATCCCGAGCCCACAAAACACCACCCCTTTACTTCCCGAGCTCCAAAAACCCGATCCCCCCATCACCACCTGCGTTCCAAGCCCAAAAAAACACAATTCACCACCCCCACTCCTTACTTTCCAACCCCCCCAAAAAGAAAAACTCCCCCCATACATCCCGAGCCCCCAAAACACGAAACTCCTTCCCCCCTTACGTTCTCATCCTAAAAAACACAAACCCCTTTATGTCCCGAACCCAAATCCCCTCCACTTACATCCTGGGCTCAAAAACCATGAAACACCCCGTCACCTGATGTTGCGAGCCCAAAAAACACAAATCACCCCACAACAACATTTATAGAGCGCCTTTCACGTTGAGTGGACGTCCCAAAGCGCTGAACAGTCAGGTGTCAGGGCCCGAGCATGGGAGAGGGGTGGTGTAGGGGTGAGGGAAGACAGAGAGGTGGGAGTGAGACCAAAGGCATGGTTGAAGAGAAGGGTCTTGAGACCGGCCTTGAAGGAGGCGAGGGAGGAAGCGAGGTGAAGGGTCCATGGGATGGAGTTCCAGAGTGTGGGGCAGAGAGGCTGAAAGCCCGGCCACCGATGGTAGGGAGGGTTGGGCGGGAGACATGGAGCAGCCGGAGCTCGCTGGACGGAGGGAGCGGGCAGGTTGGTAGGGAGTCAGCAGATCAGAGAGGTAGGAGGGGGCGAGGCCATGGATGGCCTTAAAGGTGACGACGAGGATCTTGAACTCGATCCTCTGGGGGATGGGGAGCCAGTGGAGTTGGGCGAAGGTGGGAGTGATGGGGTCACGGAGCCCTGGTGCGTGAGAGCACACGAGCTGCAGAGTTTTGGATGATCTGCAGGTTGTGAAGGGAAGAGTTGGGAAGGCTGAAGAGGAGGGAGTTCCCGAATCGAGCCTTGAGGTGATGAATGCGTGGGTGAGGGTTTGGGGGCCTGAGGGGTGAGGCAGTGGCGGAGTCTGGCAATGTTGTGGAGGTGGTGGTAGGCAGTGCCGGTCATGGCGCGAATGTGGGGGAGAAAGGACAGTTCAGGGTCAAACAAGACACCCAGGTTCCTGACTTAACCCAGCCTTTTATATTCCGAGCCCCAAAAACATGAACCACCCCCCACCCACATTACATCCCTGGACCAAAAAACATGAAGCCCTCGCCCCCTTAATGCCCCATGCCCAAAACACACATCCCCCCCTCTTTATGCCCCGATCCGAATAAACAAAAAAAAAACTTACGTCCCGAGCTCCAAAAACGCGAAACCCCCTCCCTTATGTCCCTGGACCAAGAAAACACAAAATACCCCCCCACCTTACTTTCTGGGCCCCCAAAAAACTAAACGCCCCCACCTTACGTCCTGAGCTGAAAAGGCATGAAACTCCCCCTTACGTCCCGAGCCTCCAAAACACCCCTCGCCCTCCCCCCCAACTAGTACTCTCATCCCAGCCCAAAAGC